TTTCTCTTCCTTCACAGGCACCTTGAGCATTTCTGAGCACAATCGACGTATCGAACACCTCATGGCAGCTTTCAACCTCACCCCCTCTGAACCTTCACCATTTATCCTAATAGGCATCCCTGGCCTGGAAGCTGCCCATATCTGGATTTCCATCCCTTTCGCTACGTTCTACATTATCAACCTACTGGGAAATGTCATGGTTCTGTTTGTCGTAAGCAAAGAGCAGACCCTGCACAAACCAATGCACCTGCTTCTCTGCATGCTGGCGCTCACAGACATTGGCATGTCTACCTCCGTTGTGCCAAAGGCACTGTGTATATTTTGGTTCAATTTGACCAGTATTACTGTGGGTGGCTGTCTCACCCAGATGTTCTTCCTTCATGTGGTTTTTGCTATGCAGTCAGCCGTCCTTGTGACAATGGCCTTTGATCGCTACGTTGCCATATGTAACCCTCTGAGATACAACACTATCCTCACCAACTCACGGATAGCTAAGCTAGGTCTAGTGGGTTTGATAAGAGCTGTTCTCGTTGTTCTGCCCATGCCCGTGCTCCTCAGCAGGCTGTCATTCTGTGCTAACCACATTATTCCCCAAACACACTGTGAGCATATGGCGGTGGCAAAGATGTCATGTGGGGACATTACAGTTAACAGGATGTACGGCTTGGTGATAGCAATCGTAGTCAATGTGTCAGACCTGACGCTCATTGCCCTGTCCTATGTTCTGATCATCAGGGCCATCCTCAGAATCTCCTTCAAGAAAGCCCACCAGAAAGGCCTTAATACCTGCACATCCCACATCTGTGTGATGCTGATGTCTTATACTCCCTCCGTCTTCTCCTACCTGACACAGAGGTTTGGTCAAGGAATTGCTTCCCATGTACATGTCACCGTCGCTAACTTCTATCTCCTTGTTCCCCCCATGCTCAACCCTATCATTTATGGTGTCAAATCCAAAGAACTTCGTGAGAAAGTGGGTAAATACACCTGCAGAAGGTGATCGCCGGGGGCCACTGACTCCTCATTAATCAAGGGTGCTTTGTCCCAGTTTGG